AACGTTGAAAAACTGAAAAATCTGACCAATTATTTTGAAGATAAAATTAGTGAAAAAAATATAACAATGAGTATTTACTTTGGCGTGAAAAATGGAAAAATAATGAAGAAACCCCTACAGATATTATGGCTATTTTAGACTCGCGTGATTCGACTTTTTACCCAAATACAAACCATTTGTTATGAGTTTTGGCAACCCTCCCAGTGTCTACAACTGAAGTTGAACGATTATTTTCAACTTTAAAAAGAGTAAAAACACTACTTCAAAACCAAATTGGAAATGACCGTTCAACAAGGTTGATTCTTTTATCCGTTCATTGAGAAATATCAGTTTCACCATAAGACGTGTTGAATATAATGGCAAAATCAAAAAGAAAATTATTATTATAAATTATAATTTTATTATATTTATGTTATATTTATACCTACATTTTTTTTTAAGTTTACAATATTTTTATTTATTTTAATACAATAATTATTACTTTTATTTTTTTTATTTTTAGAACCTTTAGTTATTAACTATTACAGATAGTGATTACATAAACCAATTAAGAAATTAAAATAATATTGAGGCAATAGTAATTGGTGATAACTAAACGTTAAGTATACAAAAGGTGTTGATAAGAAATAATGATTATTAATTTGGATTCGGGAAGATATAATTAAGGAGAGACGGTATTCTTAGATAGTAATGAGTTTAAGAGTGTGGATAAAAGTGAAATTAATGGAGTAATGAAGGAATGTAACTGTGTAACTAATTGAGATAAAATATTTGATATAGATTCGTTATTAGAATTGTTTGAGTTGCTTGAAGTTGCTTCTGCGTATGTCTTGGCCCTGGATTTTTCTTTGTGTCGGGTGTGCGTGGACAGGGACTCCACTGTGACTGGCAAGATCACCTTTGAGGGCACTAATGATGGTACAGGTGGTGTGGTCTTGAGGTGACCATTCTTATGATTCTTACGATAGGTGTTCATAAATTTCTTTAATAAAGGACAACCTTTAAAGTTCACGGTATGTGCGCCAGAACATAACGCACACTTTGCAGGTAGTTCCGAAGATTTGACACAGTCCTTGGTGAAATGGTTGTTGCCGCATTTGACACAACGTGGTGATTCGCTACAGTAGGAGCGAGTGTGACCGTATCGCTGACATTGTTTGCATTGAGGAGGGTAAGGGGATTGATGCAGATTTTCGACAACTATTTTGGAGTTAAGGAGAGAGGATATTTGGAAGATACTCCGGTTAAAATCCCTTGCTTCTAGGACAACGGTGAATAGAGATAGAGCTTGTTTACTAATACTATGGCGGACGTTTAGCACACTTATGATTGAGAAGCCCAAATCCCGGAGGGCCCTCTCTATATCTTCAACAGGAATAGTATAATGCAGATTACACTAAAAGGGCAGATATGACGGGGTGCCCACGTATGACATTCTAAATCCAATTCGTTGCAGTAATCGACAAGTTTATTGTAACCATCAAAATTATGATGTTTGATAATAAGAGAGGAACCCTTGGCGGTAGCCGTAAAGCCATCAGTACCCACCAGAGATATTAGATCTGCTTTTAACTAGGAATAGTTAGTAACATTACTTATAACGATTGACGGTGCAGACATTCTCGTAACCTCGACTTTTCCATCACCAAGGTGTTTTGATGGTAAAGTACTAGGTTCATGTTGAGCCGAAGGTGAGATTGTGACGGGAAGGGGACTAAAAACCTCGGGGAGGTTATCAGCCATGGTGAGGGGAGCGAACCGATTTGATGACACATAAGACTTATTTTTCTTTAGACTTGAATCGAGATTTGATGAAGAGGAGGACGACAAATTCCGTTTGGTCGACTTCAGTGTAGTAGCGCGGGACATGACAGACGGGTCTGCGTATTATCGTGCAAAACACGTGAACATAATTAAATAATAAACTGATAATAATTGAGTGCGTGACGTAGTGAACGTGCGTGCTCGACGGCAGACGACACAGAACTGAATTATTACTTTATATTTATACATTTCACCTATTGAATTACAAAAATATTTTTACACTTTTTTTTTTACAATATGTACATAATAAAGGATTCTGTAGGTCATTACAAATTTAATTTTTGCTTAATCAATAAGAATGGTTAGAATTACTTATAATGTTGTTTGGAATCCTTACCAATTGGGATTAATTAATAAAATTGAATGGGTCCAAAAACGATTTTTGAGAGTACTTGCATATAAGGCCAATAGAACCGACGTCTCGCTTGATCAGATAGCTAATGAATTTAATATCGTGTCGTTTAAAAATAGGAGAACATTTCATGATGTATCTTAATTATTTAAACTACTAAACTCTCGAATAATTTGTCCAGAACTACTTAGCCAAATACCTCTAAATGTTCCTCAAACCAATAGTCGAGTATCAAAACCGTTCTATATACCTACTTATCGAAATAATTATAGTCAATTCGCACCGATCAATAGATTGCTAATTTCTAGTAACTCAATAAATAATTTTGATTTTTTTCATGATAATCTAACTAAATTGAAATCAATATTATTTTAATGTTATCGATATTATCAATAACCTATTATTATGAAATATCTTAAATACGTTTACAATATTACTATGCATTATTTTGTTTTATTATATAAAGCTAATATTAATATTAATATTAAGTCATATTGTTATTGTATTATGTTATATATATATATATATATATATATATATATATATATATATATATAT